TAAAATTTTAAAAAAAAATAAAAATAAAAATAACAAAAAAAAATAAAAAATTAAAATAAAACTAATAAAAAAATAAAAAAAATCTAACACTTTACTAATCTAATCAAACTTAAAATATGCGCTAAACAAGTTTGATGCATCATTTGAGGCATAATCGGCTTGAGCACCTCATGAATACATTTTTTCATATATGATGCTGAATCCGACGCAATTAACCTTACATCATTAAATGAAATATTCCAGTCAACTAAAGTATGAATAATTAATTGACCGATAGTTGAATTGTTAACTATATTCAAATAATCTACTACTACTAACTTAGTTAATTCTCGGTAATTAAACAAAATATTAACTATGCTTCGTGCTCTACTATTAGTAGTTTCATCAATAATTAATGAAACTTTTTTGCTACTAAACATTTGTTTAATTGTAGCTAAATAATTTGTAAAAACTCCAGGAAGGTACTCACGATGCAATTTGTCAGCTGAAGAAATATTACCACCTTCATGTAAATACTTTCTTAACCATGGTTTAAGCTTGTCTACCTTTTCTAAAGGTATATTAGCTTAAACAAATGCACAAACCAGATCATTAATTGCAGCCTTCTTTGATTCACTTGCTTCAATAACAGAGTTTAAAGTGGTCTGCCTAGTTTTACTTGAAAAAGAAAGTACCTTTGCTTTTAAGTTCTTATGCATATTTGTATTAATATGAGCCATAACTGTTGCTTTAGCATTTCAATTCACAGAATGACAACAAAATTGGCACATTAAAAGACCAGCATCAACGACAAAGTCATCTGAAAATTCTTGTGCACAAGAATATACAGTAGTTTGTTTGGGAGGCATTTTATTGTTCTGAATGTAATGAAGAATCTTCAAAAAAAAAAAAAAAAAAACTCAAAAAAAAAAAAAAAATTCTAATCCATAAAGATTATCATGACGCAACTGAATGAAAAGAAAAAAAAAGAGTTTTCTTTGTAAAAAAAAGGAGCTACCTATCTAAATTATAAAACAATAACGATAATGAAAAAATTATTTTATACATAATAAATTACGATACACAAACTTACAATTCTAGTTTTACTAAATTTGACTAATGCTATTTATAATTTTGACCACTATACATGTAAAGTTACACAGCATAATATTTCGTAAAAATATTGATTTACCTTTGATTTGACCCAAAAATATCGATTTATATTGATCTAAATAAATCAATATTTTTACAGGTCCCTGGATTAGATGGATTGACATAGGAAACTCAGATCAGAGAGTTTAATTGGGTAATTCAAGTAATAGTGGGTTACAGGTATGGCATCTAATGTAGCACCTAGCACATAGGTAGATTACTTAATTAGGCACCCAAAAGGTGCAGATATGGCTAGAATGTATCCTCGTCAGAATGTACTTGTCTGGGGCCCCTTTGAAAAGGGCACCACATGATTCTAATATCTAATAAAAGTGATAAGCCAAAGAGGCTAACCTTGACTATAAAAAAAAAAAAAAAAGTAGATTTTGGTAAAGTTTATATTTTTAAATCGAGGTTTCTAATTTCAAGCTTCAGCCGTTTCAGACTTCAGCCGCGATATTAAATAAAAATGCCTAGCTGATAATTTTGCTATAGACTATGTTGGCTAACATTGCTTAATGCTAGTCCGGTTCTGATGCATTCAACCCGGAATTTTGGTGATCCTCCGTAACAAAATCTAATAATTATCAATTTTTACAGGAATTTTCGGGTCGGATCTATCGGATTTAGGCCGGTATTTAGTAAATACAAACTACATACTTATTTCTGGAACAAATTATTTAGGCAGCTTTACTTGTGATTTCATTAGTAAAACTTTTACAAAAGCAGTTAATTCCGGCCTGCCGATCGTGATTCCGAGGCATTCCGACCAGAAATCTGGGAACCTCACTGTATGAGTTGATTATTACCTACTAACTTAGATCGTAACAATGTACGTACGTACATATTTGGAATCTTTCGCTAGGCAAATCATCCTTCGACATTCCGACCGGGCTAATTAGACCAACATACCGTTTTCTTATTTACATGTAAATCATTTTTGCCCTCATTGATTTAATAGCTTATCGAATCAATAAAGGCAAAAAATGATTTACATGCAGGTATGTTGGTTTAAATTGTTCGAATTAACCCGATTGAAAAATGTCGAAGGGTGATTTTCTAGAAAAGATCCCATTTATCAGAAATTCCGAAAGTGAGGACATCAGACCCTTTTCGGATACAAACACGAGCGTCCGACCGTGGCCCGGACCGTGTGACAATATTGGTGTAACATAACCTTATTTGAGAAGATACTAATTGACAGTTCCTAGATTTCAGAGTTTCAAATATCATTAATGTACGAACTAAGAAACTGCCAATGGAAAAACTTTTTACTAAATGCGGTGTTACGAATGATGGCATTTTATTTTGTCATTAACATTTATTAACTGCAATGCATGATGTGAATGATTAAAATTTCAACACACGTGAGTCAAGAAAAAGAAAAAACACGTTCGTATATAAATAAATTGTGCAGGGATATGCAGTCTTTCAAAAATATTTTTATCGAGAATAATTTTTCATAATACAATGAATGAATTGTTAAACAACGACCATCCAGTAACCATCCAGGGTAAGGGGGTGGGAACAGTATTAGCAGGATTTGCCCGAGATAGATTGTTGACTGCAGAGAGTTGCAGGCAGTAATTTTTCCATAGTTATAAAGAAACGAAGAACAATACGTAGCATAATCGGCGTAGAAAGAATAATAACAATATTATCGGATGCAGAAAACATTTCACCAATTATTTTAGAGTTTTATTTGTTTATCTTCACTAAAACAAAAACTTAGGGATTTGCATTTAAACTAAATATTCATGCTCGATCTTTTTGTGAATGTGATTATCACATTTGTTCCTGTTTTCAGCAGGCCAAATTCTTATCAACAAGGAAATTTGTTTGTTTGTGTCTGCATACGATTAAAAGACTTTTAAACAGAAAATCACTCACAAATATGTGAATATAGTTTCGTTTATGCATACATATAGCAACATATAGCAACACATACAACAAATACAACACATACAACACATACAACATATACAACATATACAACATATACAACACATAAAACGCACACAACATATACAACATATACAACATATAGCAGGAATAACCAACAGCACAAAGTAATTAATAATAAATTAAGAAAAAAGATTATGCAACAAGACTTTATTTAAATCGAACAAAAAAACTTTATATATTGAAAATAACAAAATATAGAATATCATGTGGTATTATAAGCGCGCACATAATGTTTATTGTAACGCGGCATTTATATAAATAAGAGAATGAAGTATGGATGAATCACGTAATGTATAACTTTTTTTCTATTAATTTGTATAGACCGAAGATTATCCGTTTTACACCCGGAGAAATGTCCGTCACCTGATCCAACAAGAAATAACAAGAAATGATCGACGTAATGCGGAAAAATAGATCTTAGGACGAAGGGATTTTTTGAATGAATCTATAACACATTTGCACTAGTGCGCTAGTTTTTATAAATAAAACAAACTTAAAAATGATCGTAAAAGTAAAAAAAAACAATTATACGTAATAATGACGTGTATGTAATATATGCACTTACTGTATCCAAAACGTACGTACGTAACTAATGCCAGGGTTCATAAGTACGCATTTATGCAGCGATCACCTTATTAACAAACAGCTATCGCTTGTTTGCAACACGCGAATTTTGAAGTTGATATCATAGTAAAATAAGTTACACGGCACAAATATTTGTAGGGAGAATCCGAACAATACTTAGTTTTCCAAACATAAATGCATTACATGAATAAAATGACAATGAATCTAATCTACGAGAGCATGTGAATGCATTTATATACATGCTGTCTACATGCTATCTACATACCATCTTTATGCTATATACATGCTATATATATGCTATATTCATGCTATGAGTGAATAAATTAAGTCATCATTTATCATTCATCATCCATCATTGCATTAAGTTTCTAAACATGCCAAGTAGTTTTGTCTCGAGTAATTTTAAGAATAGCATTCTTTAAACTACACACATATAACTACTTATGATTACTTACTGAATATATACTATTTCTTAAAAATATGTATGATTATGCATGATTATGTAAAGATGATTATTTAGGAGAATTTGATATTTTTTAAACTCCATATTTAATGAAAGAATTATTCTCAAGAATAATGTATATGAGAAATTTTGGAAAAATGTAAACCAAATTAGTCGACACGCTTTTTTTTTCTGATAATGAATGCATATCTGATATTCGTAACGATATACACTATTTAAAATTATGCTTTGTAAATCTTTATACTGTAATGATTTCATGCTACACCAAAACATAATCAAGCGCATTCAAACACACCAAACCCCAAACACAAATCAAATTGTATTTTATTTATTTGATTTTTTTTTTAAGCTTCGTTGTTTTTCGTTTCTTTGTTGTTTTATTTCGATAAAAATATTTCGGTTCTAAAGATGGTTTAATTTAAAATTAATTCCTTCCTTTTTGAAAATGTCGCTTAAATAATATTTGATTCGATATATATGATATTTTACGAGAATTCGACTACGAAACATTGGATGATTTCTTTGTCATATTGACCGTTTAAACTAAAAATCCGCATTTTAGCTAAAATGATATATATATATATATATATAAAAGGACGCCTAAGCGTTTGTTTCTTGTGCAGCACATTATAATAAAGGGAAAGTTTGTTTTTTTGTTTTCGAATGGATTCATTAATAAATAAAAAAAATAAATAAACGAAACGGATAAAGAGTGATTTTAAATTAGCTGAGTACATGTTCGTGAGAAAAATTTCCGGAAATATAAAATCATAATATTCTATAATTCATCATAAAACTTAAACCAAAATTGTGTTCATATTAATCAATGTTTTTTTTTAGCTTATTGTGAATGTTGTTATTTTTCGGCGTGATTTTTATCTACAGTTTCTTCACAAAAAATTTTATCATCATCAACATTAGTGTTATTATTGATATTGGTATTACTGATATTGACAGACGCAAGCGACTCTGATTCGTGGGTCTGTTTTGATACTCGTTTTTCATCAAGTTCACAATGGAGACCAAAGGGCCTCTCTGGTATCATAGTAATATAAGCTATATAATTGTCCCAAGAATCTCCATAAGATTCAGACGCAGGCGACATCAATACAGAATTACTAAAAGAATGATGGATGATACGATTATTCTGTAGATAATTTGAAAAAGTGTTCGGGGAAGGGGGACGAGACAAGTGTAACAGTTGATCGGGATAGCGAAGGGGGTTCGCTAGAAAAGGGATATTCTAAAAAATTTAATAATAACAGGTGTACAACATGTAATGATAGGATTCATGGTCCAAAATAGAAAAAACAAAAAAAAAAACGATATTAATAATTTGAAATTTGATAGCATTAAAGATCGTGTGATTACCCCACAAAAAAAGCATGCATTTCAAAAATAGAGTTTATCCGATAAAAAAAATAATATTTATTACCTTTTCTTTATCAGACAGGGAACCACCCAAACCTTTTTCTCTGCGATAATAAAGACACGCCAGTGTAATTCCAGCAGTTCCCAGAAAAGCGACTAGAAGAGAGCCTCCTACCAAGAAACCAATACCAATTTCACTGTTTGACGACGAAGTGATATTCATTATCAATAAGTTTTGATAAAGAAAGAAAATAATTAAGGAGAGAGAGGGTTTCTGGTGGAAAGGACAATGAATGAGAACTTCATCTAGCTGTTTTAACAACAATCGAGGAATAAAAGAAAGACGAAGCATTGAGTAAAAGAACACCAATTGGTATAAAGGTCATTAATAAAAAATTAATAATAAAATTAATGATAAAATTAATGATAAATTCATGAAAAGAATTAATGATAAATTAACGATAAATTTGGAAAAAAAAATAGCATCCGGAAAGAATTCACACAAAAGGGATTTCTTTTCACCACCTCTTCAGGTCAACTTTCAGGTCAACTTTCAGGTCACCTTTCAGGATACCTTTTTAAGTCACCTTTCAAGATACCTTTTAAGTCACCTTTCAGGTCACTTTTCAGACCATCTTTTGTGGAGAAGTGGCAAAAAAGAATAACCTTGGGAGAAAGATTTTGTGCATCCTTTTTATAAGTGTTAAAACGATGTATTCTATAATTTACTCGGTACTGATAATATTTTAAATTGCAGTTGCATTACTTACCCATTTGCTTGCGCAATGCGGAGACGTGAAACAAAAAAAGTTACGCACGAAAAAATTTTGATATACACTATATATAAGATAATTATAATTAGTTATATAATTAGTTTACTGTATTAAATTAATTAGTTAATACAGTATACTTAGCATTCGTAAGTAAAGTCATCACAATAGTTTTTGCACCACATAAAATTGTTCATTATTCATAATCCTTTCTTTACCTTTTTTATTATTTGCATATGGGCCTTTTTTTTTGAAACCCAAATTACATAATATGTGATAACGAAATGATTAGGTCCACGAGCATATAATGCAGAAAGTATCTTCAAGGATTCGCGTTAGTAAAACTGCATCAAATAAATGCAAGGACCGAATACTAAATTTAAACTATTGTACATGCGAGTAGGTGTAAATATGCATATAAACTGAATCATTTAAAATAAATAGTAATAAGAAAAAAATTTTTCTGCTAACAAAAACATGGATGGTTTGATGTGATAATATTCGTTGATTTTCTCGATGCGTTAATGTTTATTTTTAAGGAATCAGCCGTTGCTAAGCTGAGACAAATCATTTAGACGTATTCATTGTTTGAAAAAAAAAAAAAAAAACATAGTTTAGATATTTATCGGCAAATATGAGAAATGCACGGTAAAAAATGGTCTACTTGAATGACTTTGGATGACTTTGAACGACTTGAATGGACTTTGTTGCATTAAAAAAAAACAAACCTTAAATAATAAAAGGGTCTCGATTTCCAAACTTTGTAATACAAAACAATCAAAGCAACAGGATCCATTGATAAGCAAAAGAAGATTTCCTTTATGTATGCTAATGAATTAGCATCGAGCCAGTTTCCAATAACTGGTGGATGCAGATCAGAGAAAGTTCAGTAATCTTTTTTGATTAAATTTGGTTAGTGAATTTGAAAACCCTTGTCTCGCATAATGCCCAACCCATAGTTGCCGACATTTTTTCCCCACACATGCAACTCTTACCATTTATGTAATTGTATAAAATAATAGACTAACCATTAAATATTTGTAAATAATTATATAATGAAATTCCCGAGCAATCGGTAAAAAAAGGAAATATTAAATGTTTTCTAATTTCAATTGACATTATTCTGCGTACGTATACTATGTTTATTCTGTGTTATATAGTTTCATTAATAATTTTATTAATTTTATTTTAATTTTATTAATTTTATCTTAATTTTAATAATTTTATTTTAATAATTTTATTATTTTAATTTTATTTAATTTTATTAATTTTATTATTGATTAAATTAATTTATATAAAAACAATGGCAATTTAAAGGCAATTATAGTAAATTGGATATACGTAGAGAAACCTGTTATCGCCAATGATATATGGTAGATCGGGTATAAAATTACTATATTTATGAAATCCAAGAATTCCAAAAGCAATCTCGGATGAAAGGAACAAATACAAACAAATTCGATTTGTCATAGCAGGTAGATTGAATGCTCAAGAAATCTACAAAAAAGGCATTTTTTTCTGCTGAATGAACGCATAAAATTCTTTATAAATTTATTTCAATAAAAAAATGAATACGTAATCAGCATTAACGTATGTTACAAACAATTCAATAATTTATCGTATCATAATTTCGTGTAACCATATCTCGATTTTTTTTTTGTTTAAGAAGTGTTGATGGATTCCTTATTGGCTCGTGTTCTTCTCTTTGAACAAGTACAAATAGGGCTATAACTCTGGCCAATCTTACCTTAGGAATAGCACATTGACATTGAACAATTATGCGACATAAAAATTGGAAAACATCTGCTCCTATCAACAATGAATTTGGCGTACGTATGTGCGTACCTATTTACTTTTTTTTTTTCTCTTCTGTTTCATCAAATTATTTTGTGTATCTATACTTTAAATATACTTTAAATATACTTTAAAATATACTTTAAATATACTTAAATATACTTTAAATATGTAAAATAAATCAAACTAGACTCAAAGAGATCACTTATTTGTCCAACGAAAATTGTTTGCAATACTGCACCATTTATAAATATCCGCTTGCTTTTTTTTCTATAGCCTTTAGGAACCTGCATCGGATTTACCACATATCCCACATGTCACATTCTTTTTTTTTTTTTTTTTTTTTGTTTCCATAATGGATTTTGATTATTTTGATTATAAATATGTATGGTGCATACGACCATTGCATCATCTCCAATCATGTCTGCAGGGATATTAAACAAACTCTAACCGGAATCTAATCCTTAACTTATGAAATGATGCAATTCGTACGTCAATATTTGCCCACCTCCCTTTTTATCTCTCAATCTAACGGTGTTTTTTCTTAAAGAGAACGTGTAATGCTACGTTTCACTCAACATTGCAAATCTCAAATTCCATATACGCGTCTTTCCCCGATATAAGAATTTTCCCCAACTTCACGGTCTCGTTTGTTATTGTGACATTAGAGCACGGACTCTTTATTTATTTTTTTTTTATTATTATTCATTTGTGAAAGGCGCAATTGATTACCTTATCAGCATATACTCAGCATATAATGAGAAAGCATGTTAGCCGGTTACACGACTTTTGAACGAGACTTACATCAACATGCGTTATGAATTATTCTCATTGTCGTTACATATATATACTGTATTTTTTAGAATCTGAATTTGATATATGTATTAAAAATTATTAGCATACAATTAGCATACAATTAGCATACACATTTCTTATCTAAGATCACTTGATGATATTTAAAAATAGTTTACCCAAAGACATTTGCAATGGTGGTCAGTGAACTTTTTCCAAAGGTAATTATCGACAAATGTTTGTAGTACACATTTTCTTTTGTAACATAATTTTTCTTCAAAGATCTGACGAATGATTAAAGATCTTTACATCATTACTTGGTTAATATTTAAGATATACAGTGTATGCATAGTGGAACAATACGTTGAAGCAAAATCTTTCCATTATCGCCAATCCCCAAAATCGAAGTATAAATTCATTTATTTGTAATTCTTCCTTTTGTGTAAGCTACTTTATTATCACTTTTATACTATTTCCACTTTAAAACGCCGACTTATGTGTTCTGTGAAATTTGTTTGGCCCTTACCATTCCACCTTTTTCGGGTTGTCATTTTTACGACTAATTATATAACACACACGTCAAACTAATGCATTATCAAAATGCGTTTGACTATTGAAGGACTTGTGAATTGATTGATTGTTCTAAAACTATCAATTCCTAAATAGTATCGATTAAAATTTGTTATGCACAAAGTGATTAGATTCAATGTCATGCTCGTGATTTTCTGTATCTTTCATTCATTGAACGGAGATAATGTCGGTGATCTTCCTGTTTAAAATTCCTACATTTCCGACATTTCCGACATTTCCGACATTTAAGCTATGTACAATATACGCGACTAGGTATTACTCGCATATATGTTCTTTGTGTTATACTCATTTATCTGCATTTGCTGCACAAACACTCTTTAATAACGAAAACATAAAAAAAAATAGTATAATTATGATTGGTGTTTACCAAATCTTTGATTATTACTTTGTACCACTCCCATTCAAAAAAATTACCAATTACTATTAAATCTAATACAGTATATCGTTACTAGTAAATCACGTAATTATGATTTACCTTCAAAATTTTTTCAAAATTGTAAAAGAACCAATTGCAAACCAATTATGCCAAGGTACGTAATCCATTGTCGTTATTACTGAATTACTCTTTTAGGAACACAAATCAATTTTGTCGATCTGTGGAATTTTATTAAGGTTATAACGATAATGGTTGCAGTAAAAAAATTATTAATAAAACTTTTTCTTAAGTGTGTACACACTACATGCACAGTCTTCACACACATGTTTTATCAACATACATATTTGTGCCATTGTTTGTTAGATAACAATTTTGTAGTCATTCGCAACACTTAATGTATTATTGTGTTATATAAATTATCATAAAATATAAACATAACCGAAATAAACATGTCAAATTTGATAGGTCTTTACATGAATGTAAAATAATTTAGTTATTCATGTGCCATACAATAACTATCGTGAAACTATGCAATGCTTAGTGCTATTTGATTATAAATATTTTAACTATCTATATAGTATCTTTTTTTAGATCTTTGTATATTTAATCTATATTTAATATATCTAATACATATTTATTACATATTATATATATACATTTACATATTTAATTTATATATATTTAATATAATCTATTATCGTTATATATCTATGATATGTATATATATTTTAATATTTATACATGCACTTTGATTTTATATTATATACTTTATATAGATATAATTGCTAATCTTGGTACTAAATATAATCACAAAATTCCGTGATTTAATATTAGGATTGAGATCTTTTTCTACAGTAAA